TTGTCAAATTAAAATTTCGATTCCGCCTATCGATTCCTATGCGCTTTTTTTCTTCATCTTTGAGGACCGGACCTAGCGATCTGCCAGGACCTTGCTCGCTAATCTAAGTGCTCCAACTCCAAAGTTTGGCTGCATTTGCGATCAGAAGCCAAAAAAGCTAAGTATAATATCTGTGATAACTAAACATGTTCCAAGAGAGGTGTCACCACCAACATGACAAAGCACTTTAACAGAAGTACTGGGATAAAAGTTTATAGTTCAAATATAAACTCTGATGTGTAGAGTAGCGATTAAAATCACCTTTTGAAGTAAATCTTTGAAAGTAGCTAAGTATAATATCTGTGATAACTAAACATGTTCCAAGAGAGGTGTCACCACCAACATGACAAAGCACTTTAACAGAAGTACTGGGATAAAAGTTTATAGTTCAAATATAAACTCTGATGTGTAGAGTAGCGATTAAAATCACCTTTTGAAGTAAATCACCTTTTGAAAGTATAATTTGACGTTTCAAATGAAGATTTGTCGATTTCATTGTTACGCCAGTAGGTGGCAAAAAGGGGCTGTTAAAGGGGTCATATGATGCGATTTAAATTTTTCCTTTCTCTTTGGAGTGTTACAAGCTCTTGGTGCATAAAGAAGATCTGTAAAGTTGCAAAGACTAAAGTCTCAAATCCAAAGAGATATTCTTTATAAAAGTTATGAGTTAACCCGCCTCTGCTCACTCTAGCCCGGCCTCAGCTCACGCTAAGCCGCGGCTTCCGCTCACACTAGGCCACCGTGTTTTTCGTTGTGTGCAGCACATTTTATCGAGGACTGTTTCCTGATCCTGGGAGAGTAGTACAATGCCGGCTGTTCTGACTCAGAGACTGTAAGTACGTTTTCATTTAAAGGATTTGCCACTGATGATTCAAACGCGAGTTTTGGGCAGTGTAGAGTAGCACTTGTTGTTTATCATTTCTCCGATCACAAATGCAGACAGGGTTTTATGTTTACGCGGCGCGATGCAACGCAACGCGTAAAAAGACAGTATAAGTCATTATAATCAAACTTTAAACCGCATAAACACATTTCATTACACCAAATACACAAAATAATGTTCTTTTTAGCAGCATCATATGACCCCTTTAAAATGTATGTCTTTGAATCATACAAGAGATTCGTTCAAGAACGCTGATTCATCCAGTAATGAAACAAGTACACCTTGAGCAAGTCATTGAATCATTTATTCATAAATTACATGTGATTTTGTTTAGTTGTCTAATGTGTTTTCTTCATAATCGTGAGAGAACCACAACTTCCATTGGAAAAAAAGGGGAATAAAAGACTCAATTTATCCAGAATCATGCAAAGTTCTATTTTGCACACAAACAGCTCTTAAAGAGTCTAGTTTTTATGTAGCCTGTTGATTTTTGTTCATGGTATTCGGCTCCAATAAATGGTTTGCAAAAAAGAGACACAGGATAAATGTTTGATATCATTATTTAATCACATTGGAATCGAAACTGGGAATCGAAAAGAATCGGAATTGATAAAATTCAAACGATACCCAACCCTATATATATCATCATAGACTCCAGCAACTCACCACTCAGATCCAATCATCTGTGCCATTATTTATACTAGTACTTCTGATTGGCATAAAGTTGGCTTGACGTTGGATATTCGCAAATTTAGGGACCGTCTCTAAAGTTACATGCAACATTGGTATACACTTTTCTAACTTCAATAGCATTTGAGGAGAATGACTTACGGTCACAAAACCATCTGTAAACTGTTCATGTAGGTGTCAACTATAATGCAGACTAGGGCTGTGCAAAAAATCGAATGCAATTTTCATGCGCATCTGGTCAGTAAAGCCGCTTCTGTGATTGATAGTTAATCTCCAGCACGTGCGTTCAGATGGAGCGGCATTTACTACACAGCAGTGTTGCCAAGTCCGCGGTTTTCCTGCGGAATTGGGCTACTTTAACACTGTTGTCGCAGGTTGTTTTTCATGTCCGCGGGTTTAAGCGACCTCAATAATTTAGCCCCTAAAATGCGAATTTTACCAGGGGAACCCCTCCAAAAACGTGTATTTTACCCCACCTGAATGCCATTTTTACAGGGGGATCCCCC